AACGGTGCTCCCATACCTAAATAGCGGTGCCGCGGAAAATCGGGGGGTTCTCCGCGCCGGCGAGCTCGAGCGGAGTCACGGCGCATGGACTTGCGGAAAAGCCCACTTGGGATGTCCAACTGTGCGGGCCGATCGTCCGACCCGCGTATCCGCCCGGAGTCAGGTTACTGGGTACCGCTGTCAGCTATTTTGTGTTCTGACATAATGGAAACTGGATGAAAGCAACATGACAGATGAAGCTTGCTGGGGTTTTCTCCGGAACGCTTATTGTGTTTCATCGATCTCATCCATTACCTAACTGATTAATAAACTTAATAGGTTAATTCATCATGATGAAAGTTGCGGCTGAACACCTTGCATTGACTTTGTTCTGGCGATTCCTCGCGTCATCTTCTCCTCGTAGTTTCTCTGTGAATTCTTTTGTATCACAAGTATGCTCCAATTACCATGACTTGGTGAAAATAAAGACATGTGTTGTGTTGCTCACCTCAGCGGGGCCCAGTATCCATGCCCGAACTGTCACAGTAATTCAAGATGAAACTTCCCTTGCAAGACTAAAAGCTGACCAGATAACTCTGGTTATCACCCCTTACTGGAACAAGCACTGGTCGAAGTGTTTTACTCATTTCCCCATGCAATAAAACCCCTCGCTAGGTGTTCTATGAAACCAGGTTCCTCATTACTACGATTGGCATGATGAAGTAAACAAGTATTGTGGCATCACAGTAGCGTGAAAAGTCGAAGCGGATGTTGAACTAGAAAACGACTTTCAATTATCTACTTTTGGTCATAATCTAGGCTTCCAGACTGTTGATAACCTGGACCTTTGCAGCACTGCCGCTCTTGGGGTCAAACTCATAACTCAGCCACTCCTTCGCAAGTCGTCTGGCGAGCTCCTGGCCAATCACCCTCTCGCCCATACACAGAACCTGGGCATCATTGCTCAGAATGGAGCGCTCTACACTGAAGCTGTCGTGTGCTGTTACAGCTCTGATGCCCTTGACCTTGTTGGCGGCGATGGCCATGCCGAGTCCAGTGCCGCAGATGAGAAGGGCACGATCGGCCTTGCCGTCAGCGACCATCTGTGCAGCGGCAGCGGCTCTGTGAGGGTACGCAGTCTTGTCGGTGCCCTCATGGCTACCAACATCCTCGACAAATTCTACTCTGGCATCCTTCTCAAAGTCTGCCTTGATCGTGTCTTTGTACTTGATGCCGGCCTCCTGTTCTGGCGGGTTAGCGGGGTCTCATGCAACGAAGGAGACGGTTTTCTTACGTCGCAGCCGACGACAATGCGGTACTTCTGGCCCGGGTTGCTGCCCATTTTGGTTTGTTTTGATGATTTCGAGTATGATAAGAAAGGCAGGAGTGTGATGGGCGATGGTGTAAGGTGCAGTTGTACTTGCTCGTATTGTCAATGATTACCCTTCGATGTTTCATCCAAGAGGGGAGATTGGGAGCTGTTTTGAAGCAGGAGAGGCAAAACGCGTCACCTGGGTGGTCGGATAATCGCACACCAGACCCGAGGTGGCGGAAGAGCGGAAAATCGGCAGATGAAGGGGACCACACACATGCCTGCACAGAGTAGCAGTATGAATCACACTTGCGGAAGTGTGAAGACGGGGTAGGCCAACCCCAGCCGATCTTCCATTGCGGAAATCCGGGGTGCAGCAGGCCGATTGCCCGCTAGATCCCTTGTTGACAACCGACCCCCGCACAGCCCTTAAGATATTACCCACCCGTCATCCTACATTATGTCCCAAGTTCAGTCCGAACAAACTCCTGTCAGGTCATTCCATCTTCAATTCATCTGTTCGTCTTTCAGATCATCTCAAAACTTCCCCCCTATTGCCGAATTCACACTTTCCTCAACCCAGACATTAGACACCATGTCAGACCGTCACATCTTCCAGTCCGCAGATGGACTGGTTGACAAGTGTCTGAGAGGCCTCATCGCCTACAACCCCTCTCTGGGCCTTGATGCCTCCAACCGCGTCGTATTCGACACAACTTACGACAAGTCCAATATCAGCATCATCTCTGGCGGAGGATCAGGTCACGAGCCAGCATGGTCCGGCTACGTTGGAAAGAACATGCTTGCTGCCTCCGTGGCCGGTGACATCTTCGCCAGCCCCTCAGCAAAGCAGATCTTGGCCGGCATCGAGGCTGTTCCTTCAGACGTTGGCACCCTTCTCGTTGTCACGAACTACACTGGCGACTGCCTTCACTTCGGACTCGCCAGCGAGAAGGCCAGGAGTAAGGGACACAACTGCCGCATCATCATCTGCGGTGACGACGTCTCGGTTGGCAAGAAGAAGGGCAGCTTGGTTGGCAGACGCGGTCTTGCAGGCCAGCTTGGTGTTCTCAAGGTCACTTGCGGCGCTGCCGGTGTAAAGGCCGGATCCTTCGATGAGATCTACCAACTTGGTGTTGCGGTTGAGAACGAGATCGTCTCCATCGCAGCCACCCTCGATCACTGCCACGTCCCTGGACGCACCGAACACGCTCAGCTCAAGGCCGATGAGCTGGAGATCGGCACTGGTCCACACAACGAGCCTGGCTACAAGAAGCTTTCTCCCAGGCCATCCCCTAAAGACCTGGTCGACCAGCTCTTGGAGTACTGCCTAAAAGAGGACGACCCTGAGCGATCCTATGTCAAGTTCACTCCCGGCGACGAGACCATTCTTCTGGTCAGCAACTTCGGCGGCATCTCCTACCTGGAGCAGGGTGCGCTGGTTGATGAAGTCCTCCAGCAGTTAGAGCAGAAGTGGAACGTCAAGCCAGTCAGAGTATTCGCTGGTCCTCTCGAGACTTCACTCAATGCACCTGCCTTCTCACTATCCCTCATGAACATCACAGCAGCCTCGAAGAAGTGCTCCTTCTCAGTTGAGCAGATCAAGGAGTTTGTCGACATCAAGACCAACACCCACTGGGAATCCATGGCCGGAGCCCAGACCGTACGACGCGATCGCCAGTCCCAAATCGTCCACGCTGCCCCCGAAGAACCCAAGACGATCGATGCGAACAACGACGTGAAGATGGACCCCGCGATTCTGAAGTCCATGCTGCGCGCGGCTTGCTCTGCAGTGATCGACGCCGAACCCGACATTACAAAGTGGGACATGATCATGGGTGATGGAGACTGTGGAGAAACACTCCAGACCGGCGCATCGCACCTCCTGGAGGCACTGGACAAGAAGGGCGTCGCCGATGGCGGCTCTATTGTCGCTGTCTTGCATGAGCTGGAAGACATCGTCGAGAGCAAGATGGGTGGCACACTGGGCGGCATCCTGGGCATCTTCTTTGTGTCCCTGTGCAACTCCGTCAAGGAGAACGCGCCCCTTGCCAAGTCCAAGGGCATCCTGTCCGTCTGGCAATTGGCCCTCGCTTCCGCGCTGGAGCACCTCAGTCACTACACCCCCGCGAAGGTGGGCGACCGCACAGTCCTCGACGTCCTGATTCCCTTCGTGGAGAGCATCAGGAACGGAGGCTTCGACTCCGCCGTCCAGGCGGCCGTCGACGGCGCGGAGGCAACTAGAACCGCAAAGGCAAAGCTCGGTCGGGCGACGTACGTTGGGAGCACGACGGAAAATGGAGGTGCCCAACCCCCCGACCCCGGCGCGTGGGGTGCGATGGTGGCAATCAGGGGTTTGCAGACTGGCTTGGCGTAATTGGTACGCAACTCGGATATTCAAAATTATTAGCGGTTAATAGAGTAAGATTCCTCCACTTTTCGGCGTCCCTCTCAACAATCATTCTGACATCAGTCTGTAGATAGGTAGCGGCTGGTGTTTCCCAATTCCAATTATTGAACCAAAAAAGATGGACACACAAAGATGGAGCTCCCGGCGTGTCACGTAATGACCAAATCATTCACAGCACAGAAAGCAAACCCAACGTCTCCGAGATCCCCGTTGATGCGGAAAAGGGTTTGCCACACTTCCGCCGCCTTCGTGTTGAGTTTTTGATACACACCTGACCTCACGTTTATCCCGAACAGAGTATGCCGCGTGGGGCAACCCCTCCCCAGACCCCGAGCATCGTCGTTCGAGACCAACAAGTGCCCGAGTGGTTGTTTCTCGGTGATTTCAGGCTGTTTGCGCCGGATTACCCGATTAGGAAACCCGAGGGCTGAAGCCGGTGTGGACGCCCGGGATCCGTGGTTGGTTGGTTCATCTTTCCCGCCTGGAACGGCCTTTGAGCTTGGGTGGAGAGGGGTTCCATGCGGAGTCCGGGGTGTTCGCGGGGCATTTGGAGGGAAGACGGGGTCTCGTGAGGCTCCTGTGATCGGACGACCCGCCGGGGAACTGGGAATGTTGAGTCCATCTCCTTATTTATGGGTTTTCTTAGGCAGCTAAACCAAGTCTAGCAGTTCCACCATGAGACAAGTCTGACCAGATCGTGCATTACACTCCGGACGGATGCTGATTCAGGGTCCAAGGGGCAAAAGGGGTTGAGTTGACAGCAGCAGCAGCAGCAGCAATCAACACAAGCGAGCACAGCTGACGAGGAGGAGCTCTGAGCTTCACACAGAACAGCTAGCTGTGTCTTTGAAATACGGATCCCCGGATTGTCACACGCCCAATACTTCGCCTCGTTTATCCACAATACCGGTGGACCGGACAGTTCACCGCGTTCTGGCCAGAACCTTACCTTGAGCCATCCATGGCAACGTCACCCATCCATCAGTGCTGTTTTGTTGGTTTGTGCCCGTTGGCTGGGCTGTTATGCGCTAAACCAGGGGGAGATCCTGCGCTTACACCTTCCCCTCACATCGTCAACTTTTTTTTGGCAGCACGATCGGCATAAACGGACGCGGTCGGTCGACACCCCGAACCGAACCGTGACGTGCCCCTCACCTCACGATGTTTTTTTGCTGTGCGCAATTGGGGAGCTTTCCTGGTCTGCAGCCATTTTTTTGAGTCTTAACCTTTAACGAGTATCAGCGCTTCTTTGCTCTTACACCTAACTCGACATACGATACCCAATTGCTCGAAACGACGATGCCCCCCGACCGACATGCGAGCCGCGCCAGTTTTGCATGCACTCGTTGCAAAAAAGATAAAAGACGATGCGATATTTCCCAGGTTTTGAGTGAAGGAGGAAGATCTTGCACCCTATGTCGGAACAAGAATGAGAAGTGCGAAGTGCGGTATGGCGAAGACAAGCGCAGCCATCGCCGACCGAGCGAGTCCAAGGCACTGCACCAGCGGATGCAGGCTCTCGAGGAGTTCGTGAGAAATGCCTCCCGTGTTGACGGTCAATCATTCAGCATATTCAAAGACGACGACAGTTCTAGAAGCTTGAGGCAATTCTCTTTTCCAAGTCCTGCCAGCTCTTCTAGTCCCGGTACACACACTAGGACCGTTTCGATGCCCTCTTATGAGAAGCCAGAGACTTGGATCACAACGCCCCGAGCCGAACCTACACCGAACTCCCTCCGATCTGAGTCAGTCTCGAGCGATCATATTCCATACAATGAGCCCATGCTTGAGCAATTGTGCTTTCCTTCAGCAATGGATGAGGCCGTGCAAGAAGAGGGCGCCGCAGAGAATGATGCATATTTGGGATACACCAGTATGTTTCCTTACTTGGAAGAGGATGCTAGTGCAAGAGGTTCCAAAGCCATTTGCCCAACACCTCTTGCGAATAGACGGCCTTGCGTACCATCTGAAGTACTTCCCGAGCCAGAACCCATTGTCGCGCATCTTCTCGACCTCTTTTGGCAGTGGCAGGCGCCTCATTTGCTCGTAATCGATCGCGACTTGTTTGTCCGTCATCGGAAGCTTTGGGACGACAGTGGAGGTCAAGGCGACCGCACTTTCTACACTCCTACTCTATTGTACGCGATACTTTCGCTGGCCTCGATGATCAGTCTGGACAAGGGCGTTGTGCGTTACTCTGCATCATCTGGCGGGCTTGCTGGCGACAATTTTGCGACAAGGGCGCGTGAGCTGCTCGAGTTAGAGCTTGAGCACCCAACCACCACAACAGTCCAAACAGCCTTGATCCTGGGGTTTAGGTTTGAGGCAGCAGGGCATGCTTCTCTGGGCTGGATGTACAGTGGTGAGTTTTCAATAGTCCAATATGCCCTCGCGAGACACTGACCAAGAATCCGTTCTTCAGGCATGGCATTCAGGATAGCAAGCGACCTGAGGTTGCATCTTGACTGCTCAAAATCGTTGAGGTCTGGGAGAATGAGCTCTGATGAGGCGAGACTGAGGCAAAGAGTATTTTGGGCATGCCATCAAGCAGATGCGTAAGTGCGAAGGAAAGCTAACTATATTCCTACTTTTCTGATGCTAACAATCTCCCAGTTTGCTAAGTACGTGTCGTGGGCGTCCAAATACATTCAGAGATGACGATATTACGACGTCCGTACCAGAACGGCAAGCAGAGAAGGTGGAAGTTGGCGGCTATGAAGACTGCTCTTTATGCTATCTCCATGCATCTTCAACTCTGTCCATTTTGTCTTCGAAAACCCAGACTATGATTTACGGTCAAAGAAACCGACGAACGCCGAGCGAGCTGAGATCAACAGCTCGGCGGTTGCACGAAGAGTTGTGGCGGTGGCATCGGATGTTGCCACAAAAATTTAGATGGTCTAGCGACGAAAGCGCCAAACCATCATCAGAAGTCTTGCTCCTGCAGTATGTCTCCAATGACCCGCTTAACTCTAAGTTGCTGACCATGGTTTTTGTTCCAGCATGACTTTCTACTTCAACCTCATCATGCTCCATCGACCTTTTATGAATCATTCTAGAGTCGCCACAGATCTCGACGTGCAAGCTTCTGCCTCTTTCAACTCAACAACCGTGTGCTGTGAAGCTGCGACCAAAATAACGAAACTAGCCTTTGCCTACCGAAACCTGTACAACGTCAAGCAGATGCCACCATCTGCAATTCACTTCATTTTTATTGCTGGAACAATACACCTCATGACCAGCCGCCTGAGCGGAAAGGCACCCCATGAACATCTTCTGCAGAGCTGCATGGAAATGCTGCCAGAGTTGAGCAACTCTTATCCTACGTCTGAAAAGGCGCATCGTATTCTAAGGGACATGAGCGAGAACTGGAAAAACTCGAACAAATCCCAAGAAGGCGTCCAGGCTGTTCATGTTAGCCAGACATTCCATGACGTTCTAGGGGAGACCACAGATCAAGGATCGGATTTTGAGGTTGCAGGCACCATAGCTAGCAAGGCCGGGGCCGCAAAATCAAGCATGGCTAAAAGCCAAGGATGCTTGATTGCGTCATCACCTACTGACATCCTTCACGACGTCAATCTATATGATGAAATCACACTTGGGCAAGGCAGTAGCAACTGTGGTTTCCTGGGCTCCGGAATGGAGTGGCTTTCGGATAATGACCTTTTCGAAAGCATAGGCGGGGCCGACGGGTCCTTTTCATACGCATAGTCTTTGTAATTTGGCCAAGACCTTGTTAGACAAAACAAAACGTTATCTGAATCCAAAGAATGTTTTGTTTCGCAACACTCCAAAACGCCATGGTGACAATGCCCTAAATCTCAAATAAGCAGGTCTTTCTTCAATATGCACACGCACGAGACCCTCCCCCGGATTCATGAATATCAAGAAACGACCGTTCTTCTTTATCTTCTTCAACAGACAAGCTTCGCATATCAATGGGGGTTTTGGCTTCTCATGAAATCGATCCAGTACCGAACATCCGGATAGCTAGAAACTCCGTTGCTTGCATCGCTTTCAGATTCACCTGTGTGCCCTTGCCACTGAGCGTCTTCGAAAAACGAGCTGCTCGAAGTGTCAGTCGAACCATCATATCTTATGAAAGGGACGCTTGTATCGCTCGAAGTCGGGTACACGGTGCTGTTGAATGAGTCAATTGATGGAGCTCCTGAAGGCGGATAGACGGTGCTGTTGAAAGAGTCAATTGACGCATTCCCTGAATCCGTATAGACGGTGCTGTTGAACGAGTCAACTGAGTGATTGCTAATTTGAGGCCAAGTGGAGGAGGCATTTGAGTTAGGCGGACAGTCAAATGGCGCGTTCCACGGACGTTGATTGTTGGCGTCAGACTCCAGTCGTTGCAGGGCAGGGTAATGGGACATAAACTGTTGTTGCATGTTGTTGGCTTCGCTGCGTAGAGTCGAGAAGACATTTAAGAACGTGGCTGCGTAGTGACTGGAATTTATCTCATGGGTTCTTCGCTGCTCCCGATACTCCCGGCTGGCCTCTTGGGCGACCCACTGACGCAACAAGCTATTGGACGGGTTCGCAATCCCTGGTCGAATGTCCGGCATCAAGACTGCGTTGACAATGAAGCTGTTACGCGAGTGGCAGGTGTTGCATAGTCCACCCTCTTGAGGGTTAGTGGGAAAACAAGTCGGCGGTGGTACATCAGTCTGGTTTAGAACGTAGACCCGGAGTGGTACGAAGCAATCTTCGCAATCCAAAGGGTGACGGCATTGAGGACATGGGAGTGGAATGAAGTCAGACTGCCGCCTCCACTCGGTCAAACAGCCGAGGCCGATGAGGTGGCCGCAAGGCAGAACGGCGGCGAGTTCCTTGTGATCGTGAGGGCCGGCAGGGTATTGTTCTGAGCTGAACGGCACCAAAGTCAGATTGTGACAAACACAGCAAGGAATCTGTATCTCAGTGTTATGGTGCTCCTCAGAGGATCCGTTGACGTAATTTTGATGAAGTCTCTCGAAGGAAGGTCTGATGTTGGGCCAATAGTCGTCTCGAATTATGGTATGCTGCGGTGCATTGTTTTGTATGATGATGTTGTTGTTGTTGTTTGCGAACTGATCGATTGCCGTTGGTCCTCCTGCGATTTCCCCGTGGTCTTCATCATGACTTTTTTCATCATCCGCCTGCGGACTTTCCTCGTTGTCGGTCATGCGTTCATCCTCGTCGGCAGGACCATTGGGTTTCTGCGGCTTATCATTGTCTTGATCTTCGTCGGGGTCGGTCATCTCGTCATCACCTTCATTGTCCTTGTTGTCATCCTTGTCTTCGTCCTTGTCTTCGTCCTGGTCTTCGTCCTGGTCTTCGTCCTGGTCTTCGTCCTGGTCTTCGTCCTGGTCTTCGGTTTGGTCTTCATCCGGGTCTTCATTGTCATCTTCCTCGTCGTTTTCACTCTCCCCTGAGTCATCCTCCTCAAGACGGGGCTTCTTCGGCGACGGCGGTGGCGACTCAGAATGACTACGACTGCGCTTGCCATTCGAATTGATCCCATCTTCATCGCTTCCCGCCTCGTTGTCACCGTGGTTCTCAACATCGTCATTGTCTTGACCTTCGTCACCGTTGTCATCGTTCTCATAGGCGTTTTCACTGACCTCTTCGTTCTCACTAACCTCTTCGCTCTCCTCCTGCTCGTCCTCCTCCTCCTCCTCCTCCTCGTCATCGTCATTGTCTTCTTCTTGCTTTGCGGCCTCGGCTGCCGCCTCTGCCACTGCCACTGCAGCAGCTTCAGCTTCGGCTTGCTCCCTTCTCCGTTGCGAACGGGTCTTCATATGGTGAGTGGACGCCGCAGGCGGATTTGTCTTTCTGGGGGCCATTTCTATGTCAGTTGAAAGAAAGGTTGCTTGCCTTCTTGTGAATATAGTCCGTGTGATATGATAATAGCTGACTTGGCTCGCTTGTGTTGGTATAGTAAGTAAGTTGAATATGCCTCCGGGGCTGCAATTGAACTTTTAAAGGCGCTTTGGCAATATTGCTGGTCCTTTCGAACCTGTCGATTTTCTGAGAATGGGTTTCCTGATGAATGTGTGGACGATAAGATGGATGAAAATGCATTGGTGTCGTTCAAGGGATGTTAAATACCACAGGCGCGGCCTACGTGGATTTCATCTCATTGCAGTTGTTCATCTGGCATTTTTTCTCATGAAAGAAACTACCTGATGTTGTTGATTCCTGAGACGGACTCTCTAGTCAAGTACCAGACAATTCCATTATGGTTTCTCTTTCACCTCTGTAACGAAGCCTCAATGACATTGGTCATTGGACAATAACAGCGTTGTGTTCAACCCTTTGCTGGACTCGACAAAGCAGTTGAGTACGGATGTCTTGTTGTCGAGGCAGGACCCGGAGTGTCTTTGTCAACTGTTATTCATCAACCAAGAGTGTCACACGAGCCGAAGCCCAGCCGACGAAGGGTCTCGCTCCGACATCTCTCGCTATGCAATTCGGATATGAGTTTAATCTACGTGGGCGACGGCACATGACCAGGAAGTGAGCCAATTGGCCGTCGGTCGTCCCCCACATCGTATTCCCAATGATCCCGGCCAACAATGGAGCTGAGCCCACCACGCTCTGCGATCTCGGCGCCTAATTCGCGCGTTTATTCAGCATTAACTCTCTTTCTAGCCCGATCAGGGCCCACCGGGCAAGTGGGCGATAATATTACAGGCCGAAGTCATCTTATCAGATCGTCTGATTATTCTTGATCTTGGTTCAACCGGCGTGGGCGACCAGGAGGCATGTTGGGCTGGAATGGAGATTCAGGAATCCATTACATGATTTTCCAGCGTGATCGGTCGCAAAGTGCTTCCTTTGAAGGACCTTGGACGAGCAAGCATGTTTCTGCCAAGACTTGGCCGGCGAGCTTCTGCCTCGACCTTCCCGATTGAGGGTTACATCGAGCCAAGATAACACCATTCTTCAGTGGGATACCTTCTTGCCTGCAGACGTGCAATATGCAGGTTCTACGACAAGGGACTCATGCGTTCTCGCTTTTGTCACCCGCCGACGCTTCGGCCGTCAACCGCCGAGACGCTGCGATTATTATGTCATATAAAATGGCTGCTGCTGTGCGCCGACGGATGAGCTTACGATGGGAGAAAGCACTTCACGTCCGTCTGACTCTTAGGTCAAGCTTCCTTCGGTTGATTCAAGATGGGTTGGACTCTTGGTTCCCTGGTGGTCTCGCTCCTCCTGAGCACCACAGCTCTCGCGGCCGATGTGCCTGCCGTTGCTTTGCGCGACAAGAAGCCCTTCTCGCCTCCTAGTCGGCGGTTCGCAGTCCAGTTCTCGACATCCGGTTCCGCAAAGTTCAGGAAGCGTGACGGGACTCCTGTAAGTAACGAAATGCTAGTTTCAGACTTCACAGCTGACGAATGTAGGATACCGAGGGCTTCTTCGAGAGTCTCCAACTCACCAACAACACCGCCAAACCCGCCCTGAACTTCACCTCGGAGATCTTTCACGGCGCCTCATTCGACCTGCTCAATCATACTGCCACGTCCCTCCAGCAGATCGAGGAGCTCCCCGAGGTCGAAAAACTATGGCCCGTCTCCGCCGTCTACGCACTCAAGCCCAACGCATCGGACATCATGTCGGAGCCCGAGGCCAAATGGAACCCCCACGTGCTGACTGGAGTCGACAAGGTACACAAGCTGGGCTATTCCGGCAAGGGGGTCGTCGTAGCCATCATTGACACGGGCATCGACTACAACCACCCCAACCTCGGCGGCGGCTTCGGTGCCGGATTCAAGGTCGAGGGCGGGTACGACCTGGTAGGTGACGACTATGAGATCGGTGGAGAGTATGTGCCCGATGACGACCCGATGGACTGCGCCGGCCATGGGACTCACGTCGCTGGTATCGTGGCGAGCTCGCATGAAGACCTGCCCGGTGTCGCGCCTGATTCCAGACTGAGGATCTACAAGGTTTTCGGTTGTGGCGGGAGCAGTATGGAGGATGTCATTGCCCAGGGCTTCATCAAGGCTCATGAGGATGGCGCTGATATCATTTCTGCTTCGCTTGGCTCGAATGCCGGGTTTCCTGAGAACATTCTTGCGGTCGTGGCGTCGAACATTCAGGCCAAGGGGACGTTTGTCACAGTTGCTGCCGGCAACAGTGGCGAGATGGGTCCTTTCTACACAAGCAGCGCTGCCAATGGCTTCGGTGTCACTGCTGTCGGCAGTGTTGAGCACACTCAGACTGCTGGATTCAAGGTCACCGCTCGATCCAGCGGCAACGAGACCCGCGAGATTACCTACGTGAACTCCGATACCGCTCAATGGTCCCGAAACGGAAGCTTCCCTGCCCACTTCCTGGACCGAAACTACACCGATCTTGACTCCTGCGACGTTTGGGAGTTTCCGGATGTTTCTTCTGACAGTGTCCTCATTCTTCCCCGGAGCACTTGTATTTGCGAGTGCTGGCAAGTCCTTGACTCCAATCTCTTCGGCACGAGCGTCAAGTGGGTGTTTTACTACAACTTCGAGAATTCCCCGTGGGAAATCCCCAACCGTGGGGTCTACAATCCCGAAGAGCAACCCCTTGGGTTCGGCCTCATCAGCTACGAAGATGGACAGTGGCTCGTCAAGCAGCAGGAACTCGGCCGCAAGGTCGATTTTGAATTCATCGCCAACGGAGGCCAGGCCGTAGGCATCCCCGGAGTGAACTCCGAGTCCATCGCCGGTGCCATTGACTTCTTCTCCTCGTGGGGATTGACGGTAGACGGACGTCTGAAGCCTGAGATCTCTGCGCCAGGTAAGTCTTCCCTAAGCATGCCATCATGTATACCTTACTAATGTTGGCCAGGCGGATCTATCCTGTCAACTTACCTCACCTCTGAAGGTGGATGGGCTGTTCTCTCTGGAACGAGCATGGCGACCCCATACGTGAGTCATTCTCTCATCACAATGTCAGTGTCAATGCCTAATTCATATCGACAGATTGCCGGTGTCGCAGCTCTGTACTTCTCCGCCAACGATGGCCGGGCCAGCATCGCCGATGCGGGCAACTCTGCGCACCACCTGATCACTTCAAGCGGAAATCCGGTCGCTCACCACGATGGGAGTGGTTCTCTCGCGTAAGTTTACCCTTCCATCTAATTTTCAACCCATCTAATGCGTTCAGGCCCATACCAATGCAGGGCGCAGGCCTCGTCGACGCCTTCAAGGTGATCACATACAAGACATCCATCACCCCCGCGGTCCTCAACCTCAACGACACCGACCACTTCCAGGGAACCCACGAGGTCACCATCCAGAACAGGGGCAACGAGACCGTCACGTACCACATTGCTCACCAGGCCGGGTCTACAGTCACCACCAAGCCTGACGGCGATCCCGTCGTTGCCTTCCCCCCGGTGCCGTATTCGTCCAAGGAAGAGGAACTCGCCACGGTGACATTCTCTGTAACAACCCTTGAAGTGGCAGCGGGTGCAACTGGCACATTCACGGTGACCTTTGTTGAGCCCGCTGGCATCGACGCCAGTTTATTCCCTGTTTATGGCGGCTGGATTAACATCATTGGCTCCAACGATGAGGCTCTCCGCGTTACATATGCCGGTGCGTTACCCTTGAATTTTCCTTCCTTCTTGAGCACAACTCAACTCTATCTCGCAGGTATCAAAGGCAGCGTCTATGGCAGCAACATCTGGGCCGACGGCTGGATCGACCCCGTCGTCCAAACCCCAGACTTTGTCCTCGTCAAGGAGAACGACACCTTCAAGATGACAATCGAGGACACCTTCACCATCGACTTTGACATTCTCTGGCCCACGCGCGAGTTCTCCTTTGATGTATGTGCCACACCCCTTTCCCCTTCCCAGACCTTGAACTAACACAACCCCAAACAGCTCGTCGACCCAACCTGGGAGCCCAGCGACTGGGCCTACCCCTTCGTCCCGGGCCAGAACAAGTACATCGGCTCCCTGCAGCACTACAACCTCATCTCGGACGCGTACTTTGACGCCCCTGTGCAGCAGTACCCGCGTCTCCCGTCCAGCACGTGGTGGCCGAGCGGGAACTACTCCCACGGAGGCGCGGTCGAGAGCGGCGAGTACAAGATCTTGTCGAGAGCGTTGAGGACGTATGGGGATTATCACAATGTCAGTGACTGGCAGATCAGGGTGTCTCCCAGGATTATTGTGGACAAGAACAAGGCCTAGTAATAGTTCAATATCGGCTTGTAATGAGACTTGCCTGTATCTTGTTATAGTGACTATCCTTTCTACATGTCGTGTGTGGTATGACTAGTTGAAGACAATGAAGATCGCAGCATGAGCACCAACCATGCTGACTGGCTCCTATCCAACACCACAACTTACACACTCATGAACCCGTCTTCAAACCGGATCAGTCTCCGCCTCATCCACAACAACCTCCCCCTTCCCCCGCACCCCCCACGCCTCCGGCCCGATATACCTCTTTGGCCAAATATTCATCGCCGTCTTCAGCCCCTCTGCTAACGGCAAGCCCGCATGCACAACCCTCTCGTCCCCCGTCCCATTCGCATGCAAATTAACCCAAAACACCGCATTCCCCCTGACCGGCCTAAACGCCAGCCCGCCCTTCTCAAACCTCCTCCACGGCGCCGTCCCCTCCTCCGCCTTGTCCTGCGGCGCCACCGCCTCGACCTGCGGAAACCACGTCTCCCCGCCCACACACTCATCCTCCAGAATCGCAAAGAAGCTCGCGACCCGGTTCCATCTCCTATCCCTCCCCGTCGCGCGGTCCGGCTGGAAGGTGTCGTACCAGTCGTGGTGCACATTAAACCGCTGGCCCGCGGTGTAGCGCACCAGCTGTGGCGGGCCCATCTCGTCCCT